ACACCACCCTCTTTTTTTTTTTTTTTTCTTAAAGAATAACCAGAGGCAAACCCAGGTCTGGGGGAACCAAACAGCCATTTAAGCACAATAATTTCGTTTTCCCTATTGCTCCAAAATACAAGCTGTGTCCCCTTGGGCCCTGTCACAGGAATATGAATTCAAAAGGTTGAAAAGTAAGGCAGGGGGTGGAGGGGAGTAACAGGAGGGAAGAAAAAGAAGGAAAAGTAATATAGGTACAGCTGATCTCTGTACTACCCCCATCTCCAGACAATCAGAAAATGCCAAGCATGACAAACACACCCCGTCTCACATGCTCCTAGAGCCACCTCCAGAGTCTCCTCAGAGATGATAACCATTTCCTAGTGGCAACCACTGTTGGGCTGCAGAAACCATTAACCACAAGGAACATACTATAATATGCTCTGGGACACAGCTAGCTACAAAACCACCCATCAACAAGCACCAAAGAAATATCAGTCTTAGAATGGAGTACAAGACCTTTCAATTATATACATGTAAATTAATCATCTATGTAACTGCATTACTGTTTGTTTCACTGACACCTGAGATAGGAAATGTCATTGCTGCCCAGTTTCCTGCCATTGTTCTTCCCTCACCACTTTTAATACAGTCTAGAGTGTAAAGGCCTGTAGAGAGAAAACAAGTTCAAAATCATCCTTTACATAAGCAAGAAGAAACGTACGAGGGTTGGTTTCATTGTTTTGGAAAATACACTTAAAAATTTTTTAACTTTTTAATTGAGTAAAATTGACATATCTGCAAAATGACTGCCACAAGAAAATCTAGTTAACATCCCATTTAAAAATATATATATTTATTATAGAAAATTACTGTGTGTTCTTGTTTTTTTTTTGCTAAGTTTTTACGTTTGTTCAATGTACCTTTGATCAAACTACATGCATTCACAACTTCGTATCCTGATTTTTATTCACCTACTGTTTAGACATATGCATTTTCATAGTATCAGTTTTTAACAGTTACATGATATTCTCCTGACTACATGAACCAGCTTTCCATTTCTCTGGTGTTGGACATTTATGTCATTTTCAATTAGTTTTGTTTTAAATTATATAAGTTAAAAATTAGGGTTCTGAAGTCACATGATTTGCCCAACATTCTAAGCAAAAATAATTGTGAAAGTAAATAATCAAGACTTTGAGGTTGTAAAGGGATACGGTATATCTCAAAGCCAAGTAGGAGTGTTTCCGGTTCTATTTTGGGGTTACCTAATCTCATGAGAAATTGATAGCTGACAGTTTGGGAGTTGCACTGTTATCCCAGGCCAGAAAGGAAGACTATGCTCAGTACTCAGTTCCCATTCCTCACAGCCTTCATTCCTAGTCCTTCACAGTAGAGGATGGATAGAAACCCTTACAAAGAGGCTTTTGGGAATGGCTTAAAAAGGTATGGGGGAGAGTGAGCTATATCCTCCCAGCAATTCTTGGCTATTCTGGGTCTCAAAGGGTGTGGCATTTTTCATTGGCTATCTTGAGAACTGGCAGTACCTAGGACAAAGGCATTACTTGCTACTCCCCTTCGAAGCGCAGGAACTAAAAAACAAATACTTAACAATAGCTTTTGAGTATATTTAAATAATGCAGGAATAGTTATCTTTTCTTTAATGTTCTCTGTTTAAAGAGACAGTACTTTATTGAACTCATTCCTGACCTAATGGGTAATTCATAAGTGTTAGAGT